CCCCCTCTCATTTTGAAGAGATTTCCCTCACATTTTCTGTCAAGAGTCGTTCTGGACAAAGCGTCAATCCTCAGCTTCAGGAAGCAGCAAGAAAGAAACTGTGGGCCCTGGAGAATGATGACAAAGATGTCTGTGCTCTTTTCAAGGTAACTCTGTTGTCATATTGTTTGAAAAATTTTTGATAATGGCCTGAATCCTATTTGGGATTTACAGTGGAGTACGTTAATTGTGTGAACTGTGATTCTAAATTGCCTAACTGAATTGCAGTTAAAAATTTCTGGTCTCACACAAAGTCATGCAACTGTTGTGCAGCCAGGAATGCTAGTAGGAACTCATTAATAAGCAGCTATTCACTGCCAGAGTTTATGCAATTCCACTTGCAGAATTCCCCAATAGGATTCTGTCCAGCAAGTTAAAGCGTTGGTTCATCTTGTCCAGGTAATCCCTATTCTGATTGGCTGTACAGTGGGGTCTTGACTTGAGGACTTAATCCGTATTGGAAGGCGGTTCTCAAGTCAAAAAGTCTGTAAGTCAAGTCTCCATTGACTTACAGTGCATTGAAAACCGATTAATCCCGTAACAGGCCGTTTTTGTTCCATTTTGGTTTTTTTCTGGTCTGTAAGTCAAATCTCAGTCTGCAAGTCAAACCTAAATTTTGCGGCCAGAGAAGTCTGTAACTCAAAAAGTCTTAAGTCAAGCCGTCTGTAAGTCAAGGGTCCACTGTACTCGATGCATCATCTCCTGTTTTCATAAGCCTGAAAAGTGTCTCTTGTCAATTCATCCTGGAGCAACTTAACATTTTTATGAGCAGTAATTACCTACTAATTCATGATCCAAATCTTTTGTGCCTGTGGAAGAAGGATGATGGCACCAGCAGAGGCTTTCTCCTAGTTTATCTGTCTTCCAAATAATCAGTTTTATCATGGATTTGTAGAATGGAATTTAATTATTGAAGATCTCTCTCTGTTTATGGCATCATTATCCTTCTTGAGGGCATAGTTTAGGCAACAGGGTTTCAGGCAAACGCTTACTAAATGATTTAGATGGAAGACAGCATCATTAATTAGAGCTGCCACATGTAAATCAGAATAGCTATAGCAATACCCAGTAGCCAAACATCTCATGATGCTGAGGGGCAGAGGGAGAAGGAAGAACAGGAGCATTAGTTTCCCCCTCCCCACTTCATGCTCTTCAGGTTTGTGTAACTACAACTCCCATTTCTCTGAGTGAGGTGGCTATTGGTAATCTGGATAGCACCAGGCTGGAGAAAAGTCAAGTTACACTTTCTGTGATTATAGGTTTGTACAAATGCTGTGAGACAAACATGGTTTATTCTGAAGTAAAGGTGTATTAATAGCTGTTAGCAATGGTAATTAAGCAAAATCTCCTGCTTCAAAGGTAATATACCTCTGAATACAATTTCTGAGGACAAATGATGAAAGCAGGGCTATTGCCTTTCTGAGAAGCATCTGGCTGTCCACAGCTGGAAGCAAAGACGCTGGACTAGGTGACCCCCTTCCTTCATCAAATGCAAAAGTGCTCTGTTTATATCATTATACTTGGATCGGTTTGAAGCAGATTTATCTTTGGACGAGAGCAGTGAATATGGGCTCTTGCCTTGCAAGAGGATTTTGAACTAAAAGAGATCACTGTAAAAACGAAAGTTTCCTTTCTTATAAACATTGGCAAAACAATTTGTGGTTTCTAGTTCCATTAGTGCCACTCAGAGATCTTTGGGTAGTGTGGGTGGCATATAAGTTAAATAAATAAATAAATTACTGTACTGTTGGACACCAGACCATGAAAACAGTTCCTTCACTCTTTTCACAGACCCTCTTATGACTGGATGAGAAGAGTAACACAAAGGAAAAAAACCTCCAAGAAGGGAAAAGCTTGCCTACTGTTTGATCACCTGGAACCCATAGAGCTTGCTGAGCATCTTACTTTCTTGGAGCATAAATCTTTCAGAAGAATCTCTGTAAGAAATTTACTATTTCATATGCCACTTAAAATTTTGAATATTGCCCATATCTATGAATCTGGCTGCCTGATGCCACATTCCACTGAATGTAACATTAAATATCAGTGCTGGTTTATGCATGCAACCTTATTGCTTTTTGCCTTCATTTGAGTCTATTAGACTGTTTCTTGATAGCTAGTGACACTCTGTGAAATTAGCAATTTTTCTACAAGCATGGGTTCTGCAATACCTGCTTGACAGCTTATATGTGAGCAAGTGAGTGAAGAGCATTGAGATGGAAGAGATTTGGCAGGGAGAGAGAAAGCAAACCGAGATGTCAAGGGCTAAATTGATTGGGGAGCCAGAGTGACTCCCCAGTGAGGAAAGGTTACAGCGAGGCTTGCACTGTTTCAGGTTGGGAGGGGAGGGGAGGAGAAAAACTTGTCAGAGATGCACTGAACAAGGATTTTACACACACACACACACACAGAGAGAGAGAGAGTAATAGAAGCCAGCATCATCTACTGACCCTAAATGGGGGGAAATTCAAAAAAAAGAGATGAAATTAAATAATCTTGCACATCGCACAAATTGTCAAGTGGAAGAGAAAGTGCACCCGCTTTAAATTCTATGGTGTTACATACCAGAACATAATAAGAATCATCTGGTACTTAGCAGGTCTGAAAATTAGGTTAATACAACCTCAAATGAATAACAACACGTGACATATTACAACATGACATGATTGATTTAACAAAATACAGTAAAGCCAAAACAGAGAGGCCATATCTGAAAAACTAAGTACACCCTTACTGCTTTCATAGGAATTAAGAGACTAAGTAGCAGCCAGGTGCTGCTAACAAAATACCCTTAATTGATCACCAGCAAGTGTAACCACCTCTTTAAAAAACAGAGTGTTAGCAGTTTGCTGGCTTGGAGCATTCAGATGTGTGTTAAGACAATGCCAATGAGGAAACACATCAGCAATGGTCATAGAGAAGTAATTGTTTCTGCCCATCAATCTGGGAAGGGTTAGAAGGCCATTCCCAAACAGTTTAAAGTCCGTTATCAAACTCCACCTGCCATCATCATCAGCCAGCACAACTGTGCTGCCAACCAGTCGGCATGTTGGGTTTGCATGATGGAGTTGTAGTCTAATATACCTCGACAGTGCCAGGCCTGTGAATGGTGTGCTCTGAAGGTTAGTGGTGAATACAGAAAAGGAAAAGATTCAGAAAAGAACAGTATGTCTTATAAAAGGAGGAACCAGGAACAAAATCATAAAACCTTAACACTGGAAGCACTGCTTGGTTAGATGTACACAGACTGTTGGGTGATTTCGAAGAAGGGCTGGTTTTCCCAGCCAGTTGCTTGGGAAACATTCTGACAAACAATGCAGGTTCCTTGTAAGGATACACAATCTTTTTGCAGTTAAACATTCTTATGAAGTAAGAATTGTAAAGCATTCGCGAAGGCTTTCACGGCTGGGATCTAATGATTGTTGTGGTTTTTTCGGGCTCTTTGGCCGTGTTCTGAAGGTTGTTCTTCCTAACGTTTTGCCAGTCTCTGTGGCCAGCATCTTCAGAGGACAGGCGTAGCACGCTGTGCTCTGGTGCAGTTGGTTGGAGAGTTGAGTATTTATAGCTGTGGGTTCAGCTTTTGTTCTATTCAGGAGATGAGTGATAATGGTGATCAGTGTGTTTTTGTTGTGGGTCTATTGTTGTGATGAGGAGAGATTATCTGTAACTGTGCATGATAGGGGTCGTTAGCTGGTCTTTTGTGTGTAGTGATCACCAGTCCTTGTGGCTGGGTAGAGTTCGTGACCTGTTGCAGGCTGTATTTTTCAGTGCTGGGAGCCAAGCTTTAATCAGTTTTAAACTTTCTTCTTTTTTGTTGAAGCTCTGCTGATGTATGTAGATTTCAATGGCTTCCCTGTGCAGTCTAACAAAATGATTGCTGGTGTTGTCCAGTATTTCAGTATTATGAAATATAATTTCATGTCCAGCTTGTTTTAGGGCTTCTTTAGCTACTGCTGATTTTTCTGGTTGTTTTAGTGTGCAGTGTCTCTCATCTTCCTTGATTCTGGTGTGGATGCTTCGTTTTTTGGTTCCAATATATACCTGGCCACAACTGCAAGGTATCCAGTATACTCCTGAAGTGGTGTCTTTTGCTGACCGTCTATTTCAAATCTCCCCTCCTTATCACAACAATAGACCCACAACAAAAACACACTGATCACCATTATCACCCATCTCCTCAACACGACAAAAGCTGAACCAACAGCTATAAATACTCAACTCTCCAACCAACTGCACCACAGCACAGCATGCTATTCCTGTCCTCTGAAGATGCCGGCCACAGAGACTGGCAAAACGTTAGGAATAACAACCTTCAGAACATGGCCAAAGAACCTGAAAAACCCACAACAACCAATTGTAAATCACTTGACAGTGTTAGAATAAAAAGTTTACAAACTATCTGATAAAGAACAAAAAGATTGTAAACAATATGATGAACAAAATATCCTTGAAATTTGTTTCTATAATGTGCATTAGTAATTTAAAATCAGGTTAACTGTATGCTGCATATTGATAAAGGACTGCAGTGTGTATTATGAAGCTGGGTTTGTGTATCGTATGGTCTGGTATATGCATTCATCTGATATTTTGGAGGGAAATCCATATAACAAGACTATTATCCTTGTCTAGTTTACAGATTATCAAAGTTATGTGATCCATGGTTGCCTTGAGAATAACCCAACTCTAGAACGATCTATTGCTTTGTTTAATGGCGTCTCTAAGTGGGTCCAGTTGATGATCCTTAGCAAACCAACTCCTCAGCAAAGGGCAGAGGTCATTACAAAGTTCATCAATGTTGCACAGGTAATTCTGCTTCAGAGTCTCCTTGAGTACAATAGAATACAGGGAGATAAAGACCCTAACTTTGTTCTTGTACTGTACTTTGTAGGCTCATGTTACATCATGAATGGGGATAAGGGAAGGGCAGACATTTACTGATTAGTCCAACACAACATTCCCTCTAATATTCAGCCCCACTGGGCAGGGCTCTGCCCCTCTCATGTGTGATGCTGTCCCAGAGTGCACTCAACACCACCCCATCTCTCAGTGTTCCATCGCAACCAGAACCAAAGGGGCTGAAAACAATCGCTGCAGGTGCATGGATTAATAGGAGCCCTGCACAGAGGGTGTGAAGGTGCACACATGCATGCAGGTGCACACCTTAAAGGGAACCTTAGTCCAACATATATGGTGGGCACCAAACAGCAAGAAGGTTGCACTGGAGAGTCACCGTTTGACTATCAAACAATTTGATTATCAAACAATTTAGGTTTTCAATTAAAAATGAAAATACATGTAAAACAAAGAATGCCACAGATTGAGTTTGTATACCATATGATTATCTTCTCTCTCCACACACACACACACACAGAGAGAGAGAGAGAGAGAGAGAGAGAGAGAGAGAGACCAAAAAGAAAAAACTTGGAAGAAATAGAACTGTTTCCAAACAGATATGCTTAAGACTGAAGTGGGAGGGAAGAGCTTTAAAAAACTGATAAAGTTTTCAGAACTATTTTCATCTTGCCCATTTATTGTTTTCTCTCCTGCCATTATTTGATTTTCAGTTTCCTTTACTATGTCTCAACTTCATAGACAACTCTTTACATTTCTGTTTCAATAAAATTCTCATCAGCCATAGTCACAAAGGCCACGATGCATTCATCGGTACCTTGTGGATGAGAAGGTGTAATTACACAAGAATCAATAATACTTGTACTGGTTATTAGTTTGATTCTGTGTTCCTAAATTACACATTTGTCTGCCTGAATAATCAATCAGGTGGGATTTATTTTACTGAAAAGTCACAAGGTCTAATTTTTCCACAGAAACTTCGACATCTTCAAAATTTCAATACACTCATGGCTGTCATTGGAGGACTAAGCCATAGTTCTATTTCACGACTCAAAGAAACTCATTCTCACCTTTCTTCAGAGGTTACAAAGGTATGAATGTATCTGTTCTTCTATTCTCCAATGGATTCACATCTCTGGAAATTTCATGTAGAGGAGCATACCCCAAAGCGAATGTAATATTTCAGAAAGTTATGCTTTCCATTGGAGTAAGGGAGACTGAAAGCAAACACAACCTGTGATGCTGTCCTATATTGAATCAGCCATTGGTCCATCTGTCCTGGGTGATTTTTTGGTAGCATCTCACTGAGGTTATAAGGCAAAAGTCTTATTCAACCTGTATTTTTAAATTGGAAATTCTTTGGATTGAACTTGGACTTTTTGCATGCAGATCACTGAGTTATAACCCTTCACCAAAAAGGTACAAGAAGAAAGCATCTGAGATACTCTTACTGTTGGATCTTGAGCCAAAGCCAATTAACTTCCCAATTCTCCAGTGTTATTCCTCTAAATTCTACCCATATGAAGTTGATCAAAACAATTCTATGAATGCTTTTGTGGAGTCTTGCTTCTTCTGTGCCTTGTCTGCAGGACTGGAATGAAATGACTGAACTAGTCTCCTCCAATGGAAACTACTGCAACTACCGCAAAGCTTTTGCTGATTGTGTTGGCTTCAAAATCCCAATCTTAGGAGTCCACTTGAAAGACCTGATAGCAGTTCATGTCATCTTTCCAGACTGGATCAATGAGAACAAAGTCAACATTGTGAAAATGCAGCAGCTTTCTGTCACCTTGAATGAACTGATTTCTCTACAGACTGCTTCTCATCATCTTGAGCCAAATATGGACTTAATTAACATGCTAATGGTAAGTCTCATGAAAAAATAGGTTTGGAAGTTTTATTCCTCATCTCATGCCATTGCCTTTGAGATCAAGAAAGTGGCACAAAAGATTAGGCATTTGTTCCTATATTTGTGCAGCAATTCTCACTCTCTATGCAGCCGTTCCTTCTGTCAAACACATGGTATCAACCAAGGTTGCACTGGCAAAGCAGCCAGATACAGAGATCCAGATCCTGCTGGACGATGGGAAGACAGGGAGATAGACAGCAGAGCCAATTTCTGTTTTTGTTTTTATTTTTCTGTCTATCATCCCTTTCTAGCACTATCCCACTTTGAAATAAATGTTTGTATATTTTAAGTAACAGCACAGCAGCAGCAGCGAGTGGCTGTGAGAGGTAGCCAGCATGAGGGCAGGCGGTACAGGATAAAGCCTCAAATGCAATGATTCTAAATGCCCATGTAGCCACTTCAGCTGATATATTGCACAGTTTAAAAAAGGATTAAAAGAGAATACATGCACACCAACCCAAAAACCATGCAACTACTTCGTTCGTTTAGTCGTGTCCGACCCTTCGTGACCCCATGGACCAGAGCACGCCAGGCCCTCCTGTCTTCCACTGCCTCCCAGAGTTATGTCAAATTCATTCTGGTAGCTTTGATGAGATTGTCCAACCATCTCATCCTCTGTTGTCCCCATCTCCTCTTGCCTTCACATGCAACTACTAGTCGTGTAGTAGGTGTATGCAAGTACTACACAACTTTAAACTGAATTCAAAACCCCTGTTCTCTCACTCAATTTATTTCAATAGTGTAAGCTGCCTATCTGAATTATGCTGGTTTACCATGACATCTGAATTGAGCCAATGAATAGGATTAGAGAAACAACAGAGCAGCCTTCCAATTTTATAGAAATTGTGCTTTCTGATTAGGAACAGCACTGCCTTTTGCACTCCTGTTTCCACTGCAGTCACCGTGGCTGAACCAGTTTTATATCTGTCAGCTGATAATCTATCATTCTGTTATTTGGACAATAAAAAAATGAAAACCCTGCCTTGTAACTGATAGTTTTTCCACATTATAAATTTGGCTGCAGTGGAATAACTAACAACAAGCTATTGTAGGGGAAGGAAGCCTGAAAAAAGTTTGTATTCAATTCAGGTCACTGCAACAGTCTCGGCATTGGCAGCAACCTCATAATGCTGACGTGTACATTGCTGAATTTCTATGTAATTCATTCTATACAGGGAGCTGAGATGCAGAAAGAGATCCTTTCAACTTTGAGAAAGCTTTGGCAAGAAAGAGAATCTAGCATTTCCTGTCTTCTTTTGTAGCAAAGAGCAAAAAGCTTCTCTAGGAGGTTTTGGTCCTATTGATCTGTAGCAGTATTGTTCAAATTTTCAGGATTTCCCACCACCACCTCTTATAATATAAAAGCCAAATATACAGAACTGTATAAAGAACCTTGAAGTGTTTTCAGAAAATGATTTACTTTCTAGTGTTATGAGATAGATAGAGAACCAACATGGTTTAGTGGTTAGAACAAAAACTGGAACTTGGGGAAAAACTGGGTTCAAAGACACTGTGTCACTTCGGGCCAGTTGTGCTGTCTTGGTTTGCTCTGCTTCACAGGGCTGCTATGGGGAGAAATGGAGGATGAGGAGAGCCATAGGTGCCAGTTAGAACTCACTGGGGGAAGCATATTACCACGTACTGTGATTAGAATTAAGCTCCAAATAGAGGGCTGGACTTGTGGCACTCCCTGTGTTGTCTATAGCTCCCATCATCCTTTATCATAGGATGGATGTCAGTTGCTATTCAACAACATTTGGTTCACTGCTTTGGATAGATCTGGTTGTGTTCCTTGAAGCCACAACAGCTTCTATGGAATGCAGCACTTAGGAGGGTTGTGGGCCTTTCTAATCAGATACAGATTAATTATCTGTTTATTTAGCTGTACCCTTTTAACTTTTAGATGAAACAATTACAATACTTTATATGTGAGGTAGTATTTGAAAACTTATCATAAGCTTCCATTCATACTAAATATAGATGCCTAATTATTAACCCATAATAACAAATACATCTCACCGGTGCTTAAAAAGCTGTATTGTTTTCAGGTGTATTTTGGGACACAATTTGAAGTACGAGTAATTACTAAATAAATACCTGGGGACCTGCTAGATTTCCAAACACTGCCTGAAGTGTAAGGACATAATTTAGAAGCTATCCTCCACGTCCCCTACCACCTGACTCGCTAATATGGTATCAACTTGCATTAATTAATTAATTAATTCTTTCATTCTTTTTTCATTCATTCATTCAGTTTATATACTGCTCAATTATTGCAAGCACTACCATAAGTGGTTTACACAAGCTTAAAACTCAATACATAGTAACCCAAACAAACAAGCAAAAAGCTTTATGACTATTTTTTTTCCACATATGAAGATTTTCTGTACCCAGGAATCCCGACATGTTATACATATGGCTTAGGGTTGAAGCAGACACTATATATCACTGTCTGACAATGTAAACTATTGGCTTAGGACCTCAGGTCCATATCAGAACCACAGTGAAAGTCAAAGCAGTAAATTCCCATGAACATATATAAATATGGATCAGGTCCACAAGGCTTACTCGCACTAAAGTGAAAAAAATAAACATAAACATAGCATAAGCCTATCTGTATTTTAAAGTATTGTTTGGTTTGGTTCTTTTTTCCTCTTCAAGGTGATACTCATGTTAATGTGTTGCAGTTTTGTAGCAGATTTAAGACTAAAATGTTTTTTAAGTATGACCTTTCATGACCATACAGTAGAGTCCACTTCTTCGGACGCATGGAGTAGAACACTGAAAATGCAAGAAGACAGAAAATGGCCATGTTTTATAAACACCGGTCATACACTTTCATAGACTGACTAGCCAGCCATTTATGCTAATCATTTGAAGTTTATGACCAGTTTTAATAAACAAGTCTAATTTTCTGTATTCTGTTTCCATCTGTCACACCTCCATAACCAAAAACAAGGTGCATATAAGCCTATTGCTTCAATATTTTACTTGATGTTTCTGAAGAAGTGGTCTATGTCAATAAAAGGTCCCACCTAATCAAGCTGGTATGTCTTTGCAGTGCCACAATTATTGTTGATGTCTTTCCCTTCCCCCCCCCCCGCCCTTGCAAGTTTTTATCTTCAGGTAATAGCTGTTACATCTGCAAGTTTATTAAATTTTTGTTTGACTTGTGTTCTATTTGTTTTTAATTTTTATACTACAATGGGAACTTAATACAAAAGAACAGTTATTAAATCTACTAAGACTGAAATCCTATAAAATATATTTGGGGGTAAATTAAAATGGGTAGACTAAGTGTGTACAGGTCCGAGATTTCTCTCTAAGTTAAATAAAACAAAGTAATCAAGAATGACACTGGCTGTAGTACAGTGTACTGTACTTGGAATCACTTAGACGTATTTGATGGCAGATGGCTAGTTCCTTGGTGGCCTTCTCATGGAGACAGAATTGGATCAGACAACTTTGGCTGATGTGTGGACTTGTCCAGAGAGCAGCCTTCCATCCCATTGTCATGGAAGTAGAGGGAGGAGGTTGAGCACAAAAGAGGCACTAGTGCCAGCTGGCAACTCATGTTAGAATCTGTGCTGTTGATACAGAACATAATAGTTCTAGTTTGCCATTTGGACCAGCAACAGCTATTGCTGCTGCTGTTGTCAGTGATGAAGGAATCTGCACAGTAGCCACCTCTTGCCTCTTCTGATCCTCTATGATATAGTTTGTTATTTTGTTCCACTTGAAATAGGGACTTTTGTGTTGTTATGCTTGCCTTGTAATGGCACTGTATAACCAACAAATACAGTTGCCATTTTTGTTATAGGACAAGAGTGAACATCAGGTGGCCTTCCAGGCATTTCCTCACCACTGGCTGTGCTTGCTAGGGTTGATTGGAGCTGCAAACCAACAACTTCTGGAAGGCCACAAACTGTTCATCTGTTATGGTTTGTATCCAATCTAGTTATGTCTGTCCACCAAACAGAACAGACACCAGTGATGTAACAGATTCAGCACTCTTGGCCCCAAAATCTCTTCCAGAGCATTGGGGAGCCCTCTGGAGCAAACATGAGTTAGGACTGTCAACAGGAAATAAAGGGGAGATTTGGTTGGATGAAAGGAAATCAACTTATGGGACATTGGGTGGAACTTTATTTGTTGTTGCTACTGTTGTTATGGGTGCTGCCAAGACACAAAATACCCCCCTCTAGTGGTCGAAGGCAGAATAGCAGCTTCCCATTAGTTTCTATGGATGGAAAAGAGCAGATACGGATCAAATGGTTTTCAATGCATTCCTATGGGAAATGCAGATTTGACTTGAGAACATTTTGACTTGAGAACTGCCTTCCAATACGGATTAAGTTCTCAAGACCCCACTGTACTGTTGTTATGGGTGCTGCCAAGATAAGTCTTTTATTGTACAGTCATTCACCCTGCCTCCTCCATAGAATTACACATGAGTATGTGTGTGAATGACACCATAGCATCTTCCACTGGGAAGCATCCTGTGTTTCCCCACTACTGTAATCTGTTTTTCACTAGGGAAAAAAAGTGTGTGTGTGTGTGTGTGTGTGTGTGTGTGCGCGCGCGCGCGTGCGTGTAAACTGAGTAGGAATGCTTTTTCTTTTTTTGGAAAATGTCTTCTGACCGCAGTTTTCAAAAGATAGATGCAGTAGTCTCTTTCAGCATGTATAACAATAAGAAGCCTTGCGGTGCCTTTAAGACATTTAGTTCACTGTGAGCTTTCATGGATTACAATCTACTCCTTCAAAGACATGGAAAATAATGTTTAGGCCATACTTTTATATACAAAGGCTTAAATTCTGTTTAGTGTAGTAGTAACACACAACTAAAGTAAACCCATTAAATCAGTGGAGACTTGGTCGGTAAGTTCCACTGATTGAATGGGTCCAGTCTGCTTAAGTCTTATTATGCTAAGCAACAAGATTTCGACCAAAGTGT